AGAGAGAGAGAGAGAGAGAGAGAGAGAGAGAGAAAGCTGCCAGGTAGGGGACTCAAACCTCGGTCCACCATGTGGGAGTCCAGCCACCATCACACCACCTGCGGGTCCCCCCACGGCGTATTTCTGTGGGGGAGGGTGTGTATGTTTCTAGGATTGCTTTATAATGTCCTCCTACGCCTTACGGTAGATCTAAATGTTTGATGTGAATGGTACGTGTCACTTCCAACAATCCCAGTAACTCGGAGGGACAAGGCAGGAAGAAAGGCCACCTTTTTACAGCAGAGGAGACTGAGGCTCTAGGGGATTCAGGGACAACCACAGCCCACAAAGTACTTGGCAGCCAGCCTGGTGGCTGGGACACTGCACTCCCACATGGCTGACTATGGTTCAAGGCCCAGACCTGGTGGCTTGCTTTCTCACTTTCCCTCCCTCTCTGTGTCTCTATCTAGTCCAATTAAAAATAAATAAATTAAGTAAGTCTTTAAAAATACTTGGCAGAATTATCTTGAGAGTTTCTTTTTCCTTCTGATATTATAACCTTTAAAAAAAATAAATAAGAGAGGAGGAAGAGGAAAGGGAGGGGAGAGCTAGCTGAGCAAAGGAGACTGATACTCAAAATTGAAAGTGTACTTGAATAAACAAAAGTTTTAAATAAAGAATTTTTAAAAGAACAATAAAAAAGTACTTTCTAGCAGGATTCCTATTAAATTGGGAAAAAGAAAGCCGTGTATTTGAAATGGCGGGGACGGGATGTTGTCACATCACACCTGCGTGCAGCCATACACCTGCACACCAGAGGCCGATGGCAGGCAGCTGCGCCACGCCTTACAGGGAACAGTGTGGCTTCAACGCGGAGTGGCCAGTGCCTAGCCCTGCAAGCAGGTGCCCAAAGGCTGCTCACTAAACGAGTGACTCACTGAGTGGGTAGAGATTTCAGCACATGAAGAACACGCTAGCAAAACAGAAAAATAATTAATAGGTTTATCTTTAAGACAGCAGCTAGCTTTGGGAACCAGACTCTTTTTTCTTTCTTTTTCCTTTTTCAGTTTGCCAGTGTGTGCTCTCACTGGAGAGGGGAGTGGAGAAAGAGAGAAACTGAGAAAGCACCCCTCACACATACACAAGAGGAATGGCCACACCACAGTCCCTTCTCCACCTCTCCCTCCTTTCAGGATTGTGGGCATGCATACACACATACACACACACACACACACACACACATGCACACAACGAGCGTGCGTTTAGGTTCCAGATCCAGGACTGGAACCACAGTCAGCCATGTGGGAGTTCAGCACCCCAACCACCATGCCCCTGCAGGCCCTTTTACATGAGGTCTGAAGCAGAGAGCGCTGTATCGTCGGCACAGACCGTGAGCAGGGTGGCTGCCCGTTAGAATCATTTGGGCGCTTTCCAAAGTCCAGGTGCTTAGGTCCACCCCAAACTAATCTGAGGGTGGGCTCACGCGCAGTGTAACCAAGGGAGCCATTACTCCCATCTAGAAGGGCCTTCTTTTTTTTTTTTTTTTTTGGAGAGATTTTCACCGTAGGGCGCGTGCGCTCGCCAGACAGACAGAGAGAGACATAGAGACAGAAAGCGAGAAATCACCCCCCCAGGGGGGGATGGTCACGCCGCAATCCCTTCTCCTCCATTCTCCTCTCAGGATCTTGGGCACGCACGCACGCACACACGCCCGGCGTGAGTTTTAAGCCACCGGGTCCGGGACACGAACCGCGGTCGACTATGTGGGAGTCCAGCGACATAGCCATTATGCTAACTGGTGGTTCCCTAGAAGGGCCTTCTTTAAGATACTTTAACTCGGCACATGGCCTGCTGGTTAAGGCTCTGGACACCCACATACTTGACCGCGGTGCCAGTCCCAGACTCGGTGGCTTGAAACTCATGCCAGGTGTGTGTGTGTCCCCAAAATCCTGAGAGGAGAATGGAGAAGAAGGGATTATAGCATGGCCATCCCCCCTTCGGGGTGATTTCTCAACTTTTCCTCGCTCACAAGCACCCTCTAGCAAAAAAAAAAAAAAAAGCAAACTTCATTTTATACATTTTTTGAGAAAGGAGAATTTTATTTTTAGACTTTTCTTTTTTGGCCATAAGGCACACATACCAGAGAGAAACAGAGAGAGAGGATGAGAACTCATAGCCCCCGGGGGGATGGCCATAATGCTCCTTGCTCCACTCTTCTCTCCAGATCCTGGGCATGCATCACACACACCCAGCACCCAGCGTCTTTCAGGCTGTCGAATCTGGGAATCGAACCAAGGAGTTATCTGTGTGGGGTCCAGCACCTTAACCACTATGCCACCTACTGACCACAAGAAAAGGTAATTTTTTAAAAAGTAGTGATTGGAGGGCCAGGCACAGAGGTGCATGGTAGCCCACTGAAGAGGGGGTTCGGGTCCCAGTCCCACCTGGACTGGCCAGGCGTGCCCCTGAGCCTCGCTGGCTGGGAGAGCTGGGGAAGGGTCACGGCTGAGACACTGCAAGAATGCCCGTCTATTCTCGGCTCTCTCAGGAACTAAACCAGCCTAAGAAACGGTGATTGAAGGCCCCGCGGATGGCCCAGTGGTTGTGTGGCTGGACTCCCACGTGGCCAGCCGTGAGGGTGGCTTGAAGATCACGCCGGGCCAGGCGCGTGTGCGTGCGTGCCCAAGATCCCAGGAGGAGAATGGAGGAGAAAGAAGGGAATGTGGCGTGGCCCTCTGGGGGGTGTTTTCTCGCTTTCCCTCTCACCGTCTCTGTCTCTCTCTCTCCCCCCAGCAAGTGCGCACATCCTCAGACAAAAACCTCTTTAAAAAAAGAAAAAAAAGAAAAAAGCAATGGCGATTTAAGTACATGATTCAAACAATACAGTCGTGAGGATATGAGTAAAATGTTTAGTAACTTCCCCTCCGTGAGTCAGCTTCACTTCCCATGGCGGTGCGCAGCCTCCGGGCGCGGATCCCTGCGTGGACGTCACCCCACAGCCACCTTCACTCTGCCTAATAAAACCTGTCGTAAAGTCCCAGCCTCCTCCACAGCCTGGCTGGCCTCACTCTGCAGGAGATACACCGCGTGTCCGCACGCCGTGACTGACACTGACTGACCAGAGGACACACACACACGGTACACGGGTGGGAGTATCAGATACAGCGCGTGGGGAAGAGCAGGGCCCGAGGAAGGACTCTTAGAAGAAAAGTACGGCGGCCAAGCATTCATGGGACAAAGAAATGTGATGCTATCTGTTGAAGCTATTTTATAGTTTCATCCACTGGACTAGGGAGAAATGTTCACAAATTGAAACAGTCACTTTGCAAGCTAAATAATGTGATTGAATGTATAAAAGAAAATGAAATAAAACAAAAGAAAAGAAAATGC